CCAGCCAGCTGCTGGCACTGCTCCCCAGGAGCAGTCTGCCAGCTCCCAGGATCCTGAAAGGGGCTGGAGAAGGTGGGCGCCTTCCTGGTCCAGGGTGGAGATCATGGACCTTATTCAACTTTTGGGGGGGATGCCCCCAAAGTCCATGATCTCCACACTAGACAGAGGAATGTGGCCGTCTGTGGCAGGATAGCTGCCAGCCTGGCCACCAAAGACCACATGTGAACCCAGGAGCAGGTTTGCATGAAAAATCAAGTTGGTCCAGCAAGACCCCCAACCCTGGGCCCTGAGCTTCCCCTCCTACTTTTTCCCCTTTCTTCCCCCTCCCTCCTCCCAGGTTCCCCCCTTCACTCCCACCCTCTCTTCCCCTCTCCCACCTCATTTTCCCCAGTGGTTCATTCCCCCTCCCCCAGTTTTGTTCAATAAACCCAGTTTCTATTTTTAAACATACGTTTTGTTTGACATCAGGAAGGGTGGCTAGGGATGGGTAAGTGGAAGGACACAAGGGAGGAATGAGGTACGAGCTCCCGGTGGGGAGGACTGGGGTGGCTCTGAGGACTCCTTGGGATGGACGCTGTCCCGCAGGGCCTCCTGGATCCTGACAGCCCCCTGATAAACCCCCCCCCCCGGACAGCAGCCTGCAGCAAGTGCAGCCGGGATGATGGCAATGACCCCACGAGACGCACTGGCATGCCCAAAGGCAGCTCTGGCTCCATGTGTCCGAGTGCTGTGGTGTCCCAAGTTTGGGCACTCCAAAACAGGACTGCTTTGCTGTTGCTCATTGAGGTCGACAAGCAAGCGGGGAACCCTGAGAACTGCCTGTCCAGGGTAGCGGTAGGGTCCCTTTAAGCATGGAGCTCAGTTAGCCTCAGGCAGCAGCCCCACACACTAAGTCCTAACCCGATGCCCTGCCGGCACTGGTTCCGGCCAGCCTTAACTTTGGTTCAGGGTCCACTCAGTGTGGAAGCGCTATTTTGAAATAACAAAATGCTATTTCAAAATAGTTTGTGTATAGATGCATTATTTCAAATTAGCTTAACTTAATTCAAATAGTTAATTTGAATTAAGTTAACTCGAATTAACGCTGTAGTGTAGACATACCCTTTGTCCTTGTAGATCATTACTGAAAAAGTGCGAGACGTAAGAGTAGTCGGAGGAAGAGTGCTCTACTTTGAAATAAGTGCTGTGTAGACACTCCCAATTTCTAAATAAGCTACACAATTGATGTAGCTCAATTTGCATAGCTTATTTCGAGTTAAGCCCTGTAATCAACCCTATGATGATTTATTGACTCATTTTGCATGTAAAATTACTTGAGTTCAAGACTAACCTGACTACTTCTGCGGTAACAGTATGTGAACAATTCATTGTTGTTAGATGATTTTTGTTTCCTGAGGTTCCATGTGTGTTTAGATGGCTGGGATGAGCCACTTGGCTATTAACTGGTTATTTGGAGAACAGATATGG